AAGGAAGGAAGGACGGACGGACGGACGGACGGACGGAAGGAAGGAAGGAAGGAAGGGGAAAAAGAAAAGGAATGAGGAACAATTCCAACTTGGAGCACACCTTTATAGGCAAGCGCTGGCAAAATTCCAATTGGACAGTTGGAGCATACCCTTTGTGGACCACCCGAAGGTAAAACTAAAAACCAGGAAGGAGCAATTCCAACTTGAAGCATAGGTTTTGTGAACCACTCCAGGGCAAGGTCTTCAGGGCAAAATTTGGAATTAGGAGGAGCCATTCCAACATAGCACACCTGTAGTGGGCCATCCACGCTAAAAAAATTATATACTATATTAGAGAGTTTTTCAGAGCTTGTCACGAAAGCTAGCATGCTAGCTGAGTTCTTCTTTGCTTTAGCAATGTTGTGGTGGGAGGGGCTGCGTGCCTTAAAGATTGATATATCAAGCTAACCCCCCCCCCCCGCGGTTCAACTCCCAGCTGCGCCGTGTAGGGGGTTGGTTGAACGTGTGAACGTGGTTGGTTGGGTGTAACGGTGGCTTGGTGTAAAGGGTGCTGCTGCTGCTGCCGCTCTGCTGCTTGCTGCTGCTGTTTGCTGCTGCCGCTGGCTGCCGCTTTTGTAGCTGCTGCTTTGCTACTTGTTGCGGCTTGGTGCTGCTGCTGCTGTTGCTGACGACGCCGCTGCTACTGCTGCTTGCTGCTTGCTGCTTGCTGCTGCTGCTTGCTGCTTGCTGCCGGTGGTGCTGCTGCTGCTGCGGCTTGATGCTGCGCTGCTGCTGCGTGGTGCTGCTGGCTGGCTGCTGGTTGGTGGTTGCTGCTGGCTGCTGGCTGCAGGCGGCTGCTGCTGCTGCTGCTGGCTGCTGCTTGCTGCATAGGACTTGTACTTCACCGTTACAAGTTGTTTACCCCTATTTCTAACCTAATGCATGCATAAGCGGGTGGTAAATTTACCCCCCAGGCTTGCTATAACCATACACCGGCTATTTCCTCAAGACACTCTATTCTTGATACCTTTTACCAGTGCTTATCCTACACTACGGACGCCCTAGTGTATGCACAGTCCTTGTGATGCTTACCCCTCGTTCCGGCTCAAGGCATACATAAGCGGGGTGTAAATTTACCCCCCAGATTTGCCATAACCATAAGCCGGCTATTTCCTCAAGACACTCTACTCCTTATACCTTTTACCAGATCCTACACTACGGACGCCCTAGTGTATGCACAGTCCTTGTGATGCCAGAAATGCTTACCCCTCTTTCCAGCGCAAGGCATACATAAGCGGGGGGTAAATTTACCCCCCAGATTTGCAATAACCATACACCGGCTATTTCCTCAAGACACTCTATTCCATATACCTTTTACCCGTGCTTCTCCTACACTACGGACGCCCTAGTGTATGTACAGTCCGTATGATGTCAGAAATGCTTACCCCTCTTTCCGACTCAAGGCATACAAAAGCGGAGGGTAAATTTACCCCCCAGATTTGCCGATCACGCATCTTCGTGCCTGCCAACGAGTGCACCCGGGTTGTTCCAATGTACCCTTCCCAGTCAGCGATGTCACATTTACATTCTTTAGCGCAAAGTATGTACATAGCAACCTTCCTCCCAAAACATGTCATCCCTACATGCTTTGCCGACTATGTAACTAGTACATCCGGTGCGATTCGGCTAGCTTTCGACCTCTCCCCCTGGCCTCAAGTGCGTGCTTTGCGGGGGGACGCTGCCCTCCCCGCGCCACCAAAATCTGCAACCTCTCCAACGTCCTGCCTGCCATAAAATCTGACTTTTGAGGGGCGCACCCCGAAACACGCGTTTTCGTGCGTTTCTTCTTCTTGCGCCCATGGGCACCACAAACAAACAGCGAGTCTCCAAGTATTTCTTCCAGCTTCGGCTTCGGAGGGCTTCTGGATTCTGCTCGGCTTCTGTGACCGGTTGCCTTTTGGTAGCTTCTCTTGCCTGGCTAGCCCTACAAAAAATCCTAAACTAATTGGGCGCCCCTGATAACTTCCTCAAGCCACCAGTTCATGACCTGTCAGGGCCTGTCGGGGTCTATTTCAATCAGCCCATGTTTGCCAGATGGACCTTGAATTTTCCAGTCGTGGATTGTGGCCGATGGGCTTGCCCTACTGCACAACAAACCCGTTATGTTCAAACATCCTAAGGTTTTAATAGTCAGGGCCTCTACCTTTGCTACTTCCGGGGCTGCCTAGGAGCGCGCTGGCAGTTAGCCTCGCATTTAGTGGACGTTTTGGAGCGTAGCCCGACCTTGCAGCCGAGCATCGTCAGTTCCTGGACTTCCATGGAAGCTGTGCGTGTTCGGTTGAAGGTGCGTGTGTGTTGGGTGTGGAGTTCGTAGATGATCGGTGCCGCCTCCAGGCGATAACCCTTTAAGATTCGATCCACGTACCTCCTTGCGGCAATCCCCAGAGGAGCCCTTAGCGATGCCCGGCGATGCCCCAACTCCTAAGGTTTTAATGCTGCAGTGAGCGCCTGTGGAAGCAGCCAGCGGTGGCGCCAAGTCTTGGGCCTTACCAGGGATCTTTCGAGGTGCCTTTTCTGTGTTTGACTGGTGCGATGATGGGGCTTCCGGCAGGAATGTAGCCCAAAAATAGAAGGCAAAATCTCAATTGTTAGACTGCAAGACTGCGAGTCAGAAGAGCCGGACCCTCCTGCAGCCAGGTGCTCCTTGCAGCCGGATGCCATCTCCATGAATTTTGTGGCGGCTTCTTTGGAACGGCGGGGCCATTGGGCTGGAAGCTCAGTTGGGGCACTTCGGGTGCGTGCTTCAATTTGAAGGTCATCAAATTGATGTCACGTTCCTCAGTTCATTTTCTCTTTAAACAAACGATTGACCTGACGGGAAGTGATCCAAACCCGACCCCACATCTTTCCAGAAGCCTCATGAAACTTGGTCAGCTGCAGGTCGGTGCCTCCCAACTTTTATGGGAAGCTCAACGCTGTGGAGAGAGGCTTCTGGGGCCCGAGGCTGGGGCATCAGAGGGTCCGCAAGGAGGTTTGAGGCATTTTGAGGCAATGGTGGAACAGATGTCAATGTTTGAAGAGACGTGTTAATTTATCTAGTGCATTTCATGCACTGTAAGTTTATTTCAATTTCTGGTGGGGAGTGCATCGAAGGCGTTTTACTGCTTCCAAAGTACATAATTCGCATCAAGTGTTTAATGTTCCATAATTTTCCAGTATCAGTATCTTCCTGTATACATGTATACTGCACACCTTTCCCGCAGAGTAAGAGTAAGGTGCACAGCTCCAGATTTAGGGGTATATGCGGTATATGTCACCTCGTGGTGCACTTTATCCCGCGAATGCTTCGGCCATAATATAAATAGATCAACTGGCTGCCAGCAAGTACGGGCAGAAATTCCTCGTGAGAGCAAAGCAGACAACCACGTTTTGCACTTCAAGGTGGCTACAATGGGTGTGGCTGTGGATTCCTCCCAGAGGCCTGGCTGCCGGGTGGTTGTAGATGCGGTTCTCCAGGCAGCCTTTTCATCAAAGAGGGGCACCTAAAGTCAAGGCCTGCTTCTTTGCTACCCCAGTGTTTGCTTCCACTTTGTTCGCACTTGGACATCGGTGTGAGGAAAGTGTGATCATTACATGTTGGTCACCAAACCTGAACCCCGACAATGATGGACATCTAACTCAATCTAACTCCCAAATCTATCTACAAACTCCGCTGGCTCCGGGCTCGGCAGGTTTGGCTCCGCGAGCCGCGCGGTGGGCCTGCTGGGCGGGTTGCAGCAGGAGGCGCCCAGGAATTTGCGCCAGCTCGAGGGGAGAAAAGGTAGAAGGAGGACATGAAATGGACCTCAAGAACAACAGCAAATATATTTTGTGATAAGTTTCATCAGAGGCTCTAAGCCTATAGTGAAGGATATGCCTTGCCATTTGTAGTTATTTCATAGGCGGAAGTACTCACCTCAAATGATATGTTTTAACTAATTTACATATCGATATCATTTAAGATGGGGAGTGGCGGGGATTGAAATAGTTGTCTGGCTTTGGGACAAAGAGCCCAAAATAAAGAGAGTCTCAGATTGAATGTGGAGTTCTTATATGTGGGCGTCAATCTTCGCTTGTGCCTGATGTGCCAGTTTTGTTCGTTGGGCGAATCAAGCAGCCAACCGCCTAGGAATAGTGTTCAAGCAAAGGTATTGAAAGTGGGTGAAATATACAAATTTACGTGTCTAGTTTCATTCCTGCCACCCTTGCCATGAACCACCTAGTCAATCCCCAGTACATCTTCAGGGGGAACCCACCTCAACTAAAATCAATGATTCTTTTAGATAGTTCCGGGCTCAGGAAGATTCGAATCTGGTGGGTGCACCCTCCTCAGAATATCTATATTGGTAGGTGGTGGACGGTACCACCCAACTATGGTAAGATATACGTATAATTACGTATATGGTGACGGGGCTACCAATATTTGATGGCTCGTCTTTAAAACCGTTTGGAGCTGCCACCAAGCCACGGGCATAAGCCTCATAAGCACGACCTGAGTCTGTGGGAACGGTTTTGAAACATATTCTATTTCTGCCTCCTGGGGATTGGTGCCTATGGCGAAGAGGCATCCAAAGAGCCATGAACCGCATAGATTGACTTAAACGTATATTCTCCACTACTAATAGCAAGGGCGCTGCTAGGGTGCAGGCTGTCGCTAGCGGGTGGAGGTCATTAAGTAGCAAGGATGCTACTAGTAGCAAGGTGCCTTACTACTAATCTAGGCCCCGGCCGGAGGAAGCCCATAAAGCCCAGGCACCGTGGTTGAGACAGGCCTCAAGTGCAGGCTTTTGATTCGAAGCAAGCCTGTGAAGTCGCCGAGGTGTTTGAAGATGGAGCTGTGTGAAGTCACAGGGCTAGAGACCATTGCAACAACCAAAGCTTTCTCCAGGCTGTTGACGTAAAAGGTTGCATCATGCATACAGTATGTACAGTCAGATGTTATTCGTTCGGGCTGCGGATGGCCAAAGCTGCAATGCCGCAACATGCCGTCCCACCTTCCGCTGAGCTGGGCTTTTCTCCTTAGTGCAACCTGGTCACGCACACTTCCGGACAAGAATGAGCTGGCCAACGCGTGCCTGGTGTCATAAAAGGTGGGGGAATGCACCCGGTGGTGAAGGGTGAGCCCATGAACAGGTGAAGAGAGAGGCTGCGAATACAATCAACGTAGTTGAACTGAACTGGATAGATGGAAGATTTCAAGATATTTCACGCATTTAGAGCACGATGTTCCCTTGATCCTTCTGCATTTTTAATGGGTTTTCTCTCCCTGATCTATTCCACACACTTTCACTGCAGCACGCAGTCAGATGGAAGCGTCAGACTCCAAATGAGGTGCTACTTCACCTATCGAGTTGGATACGTGATTTGTGATGCCAGTTTAGGGCCCGAGGCGGCTCAAAAAGAGATGGAGGTGCGGCATCACCATGCGGTCAAGCACACCGGTTGAAATGTGTGCACCAAAAAAGAAGGTGCCTCACCAATCACCAAGCGAATGCTAAAAGTATCACCACATGAGCATCCCATCAGCAAGCATCAGCATCCATTAGCTACACTTTTGTTTGACCATGGCCCATCCTCACGCACAGACGGCAGAGCCTGCTGACAGGCTGGTCGATGCAACGCGGACTTCCGATTGATGGGTTCTGACTTCCAGCGATTGGTGCTGAAGCACTACATGGAAGGACTCTCCTCATTGGGTCGAAGACGTGGAGGGGGAGTCACGGTACTCAACAGAGTCCCAGGTGAAGGTGCTTATGCAGATGACTTGCTGAAGCAGCGACACCCAAGAAGGCGGTCCCATGGCTCAAAAGGAGCAAGCTGCACCAGGGCTTCAAACATCTTCAAATCTTCAAATCGTGGCGGTTGATGTCGTTTGCATTTATAAATTAATATAGATTATGATCCCTTCCCAACTCGCGTCCTTGATTTTGGCATGCTCAGCTACTTTCGTCCCCATCCTTCACCAGGAGGTCGGCCTCCCTTGGAAGAGGCTATGTGGCTTTTGACCTCATCGGAAAATTTCCAGACGCGCACGCTGTCCGAGTGTCCGCCGATGCAAATCTTGGTATCTTGACATCGCCCATGTAGTTTGCTTTGCGACGAGGTTTGGGAAAAGGCACGATGACTCATCGATGACATTTTTTCGAGGTTCATGTCATGGCGGATAAGGCCCAAATAAATTTGGTTTGTCGGCTTGAGGGTCAGGTTCAAGATGTTCAGGACATGTTTGCTACTTTAGTTATGGGCTGGGACTGCCCTGCTGAAGGTTAACCTGCCGGGTCCTTGTACAGATCAAAGGGCTGCCAGTTTATGCCGATGAACTCACGATCCTGGACTGAGGCTAACATGTTGTATGGCGAAGCCCTTCTGTACCTGGATGGTCCAAGCAGAGATGGGGAGTCTGCAATGCTGGTAGCTCAGGCCATAGAACAAACGAAGCGCGTCCAGCCTGAAGTCTTGAACGCCTTGGCACGCACATGGCCCCTAGACATGGCCACCCATCGCTTTCAGGACAGGCATGTCTTCTGAACAGTGATCCAGAAGCTTCATCACTGCATGACTGCATTGTTTGATAGACATGGTTTGCCAACTTGAGCGGGTGCAGAACATGTATGTAATTAGGAAGACAGCGTTTCAGACGTCTCACAAACTTCTTACAGTGAGTACTGCAAAATGTGCCTCACAGTCCCCAGGCGCGATGATTCTATACCCAACATTTGAATCAATTCGAGAGCTTGGCCGCATGTTCTCTCAGGAGACTTTCTTGGCGCTGCAGGGGATGGCCAAGGGAGATCGGAAACTTGACTTGGTGCATTTTGTGCTGTGCCGCTGTGATGAAGATCTCAGCTGGTTGGAGGAGCTGCTTGAGGGGATGCAAGCTGGTGGTGTGTACCTCTATGAGACCTGTGGGCATGATGAGCGGCTGAAGGACCAAGATAGATGAACACAGTAACTGGGGCAGTTGGAAGAGTCATAGACTTCTAGAAGTGAAAGGGATGGGGTCGGAACCAGCTGAGCTGAAAGTTGGTGACATTGGTTTGTTCCGTATCTTTTTCCTCCTTCTAGCTCAGAGCAGCTCGCCACGTTCGCCCCACAGGACGGCTTCTTTGAGAAGTTGAGTCCAGAGGTGGTCAGTGGCGCAACAGCAAAGGGCCCTAAGGGATCCTGCCCTGCGCAGATTGCGTTGACGCATGTGCTACGCTTCTGGGCGGCCAAAAAATGCAGACCCGACGATCCAAGTAGCACCGGAGGCCAAACCTTTGAGGGTGTTTGTAGGGTAAGAACCTTAGCCTTCCCAGATCCAGCTGCCAAAAAGATTCGGCAGCATTGATGGAACCACTTGTGATCAAAGATGTGAGCAACGCTCAACCCCCTGTTCCTTTTAGCAGGGAGCTTATCAAATCAGTGCTCGCATCAGCCAAACCCTGGTTCGTACAAGCTGAGCGTTCGGACAGGCGTAAGTGGCCCGCGTAAGTCCGAATCATGACAGACATAGGCAGATGCAAGACCCCTTGGAGCACATCTGCCCTATGTGGCAGTGAGTGCCTTCGCAAAGTTGCGGTAACAATGTTATGTGAACATATATGAACATGTGAACTGTTCCCATCTTGTGACTGTTGGTTTTTCCATGGCGTTGCGTGTGGCTGCAGGATGTGCGGACAGGGGGGGCTTGGATTCATTTGGGCTTTTTCCCTCGCATGCCTCGAGGGAATTGAAAGGCCAAATGTTCAACATTCCGCCACCATTGGCCGCGCCTAGGCTACAAGTTGGATTTTCCGGAGTTCTTGCTTTTCTTGCCGTCAGCCGCACCTTTGGAGCAAGAACGTTACTTCTACCAGCTGGTGCTCAACAGCCTCCTCAGCCACACCCTTACTGCCGACTTCGTAGCTTTAGGCTCAACAAGGGCGCCTCCAGTTTCGCTGGATATGTGTCAAAGAAGCCTCATTCAATCTGGAGTCTTGCCTATTTGGAATTATCCCTTGGGCGACTTTGGGTTTGTTCAACAGAGATTTTCGAGTCTTTTCTGCTGAGGGAAACTGTGGATGATTCTTTCCCCTGGAACGGTTCATGTCTACTCCTCGGAACATGCACCACCACCTGACATAACTTTCAAGAGGTACTGACTTGAGTCCAAGCTTGTACGGAATGGATGGTTTCAGAGACCCTACAGTGAGGCCATGCAACCAGAGCCCCACCAGCACTGAAGGTGCTTTTCACATCTCTTCATTTCTGTTAGCCCATGTTGTGCAAGATGTGTGCCGCGAAGCGTGTTAGATGTTCGCCAGTGTTCAACCCAGCCGATAAGAAACAGGGAGGCATACCAGGCATACCATTTTCCGCGGTCCATGGACTCCAGGCTATGAAGGATCGCGCTTCCTGGTCAGTGCCAAACGACTGGTCGAGTCCATAGACCGGGTGGCTTCTTTAATGGCAGCCTTCGCAGAAAGCGGCTGCACCACGGTGGAGCTCGAAGAGGCTGCTTGGCTGAAAAGGGTTTTTTTCATGTCTATATTATATCCAAAGTTCGTAGCAAGAAAGAGAGAGCCTGTTAGTTACATTGGAAGCGCCACGGAGCAAATAATATCTCCAGTTTTCCTACACCTGATGCTGGCCTAGGCCATTGCCAATTGGTGGCATATCGTTTTCGGTGAGCCTGCCCAGCTGCCAATCCGCGCAGAGGATGAGCGTTTGCCGATGTTTCTGCGTGTGGCTGATGGGCCATCTGGATTTTCCAGGACTCGGATGCCCAAATCCTCTGATTATCTGAATTGGGCAGCTACCGACCTGGACGAAACATAGAATTTATGGAACAAAAGACAACTATATATCTATGTACACATGCAGCATGCAATCAACGAATATATGCTATATTCCGGAATGCAAATCAGGCGATCATTGGTAAGAGACGGAGATGCGCTTACAGCAGACTACCCGGGGGTTGCTTCTTTTCATTTCAACAATATATTGTCGCGCGCCCTTGCAGGCTGTAAGTTCTATAGTTTGCCGGCGCTTTTTTTTCGTTTTGCACTGGCAGGCGCAGAACCAAGTGGTCGCACCCGGCCCAAATATGCAGGCCCAAACCAACCACAGCAACAAAATCCTTGGCCGCACCCGGCCCAAAGATGCAGGCCCAGAACCAACCAGAGGCACAGAACCAGCCACACCAGCAGCATCTTTCATTGCTCTTCTTTTCCCAGAGCCTCAGTGAGCTGAGCATGAGGACCTAGAGCGGTCTGGCTGGTGATGACGTTGAGAAAGGGCCCGCGATGGGACGTGCCTGTTTCAAATCTATGTTCAAACAATTTCAGACCTCCCTGGCGGCAATCCAAAGCAAAAAGAATCGATCCATAGAAGCCGTACCAACACATGATTAGAGAGACATCCCGCAAATTCGCATGCTATTTTCTGAATATGTTTCATTCATGCCGGGGATAGGAACCGCAAGGAGGAGGAGGAGAAATAATAAAAGCAAATCGTATATTTTTAAGATCTACGATCCATTGAAATATATGAAATTTGATATTTATGCAAAAATTAGGACGTAATATATTTTTTACAATAAGAAATTTTAAACAAATTCTTGATCGTAATAATCTAAATTGATATAAATTTGGTATGGAATAAAATTATTTATTAATAAATTTAAATATATAGTTATTATCGGATTATATTTCTATTATTTATTGATATGAAAGATATATATTGATGGAATTAATTAATTTTATTATTATATTATTTTAAAAATATATGTCGTTTTATTTCTAAAAATATATCGTAATTTAAAAGAAATATTGACATGAATTAATTAGTATTATTAATATTTTTAATTTTTTAATTTAGATAATATATTTATATATTTTTGATTTATATAAATATGTTAATGATATTTTTATATTGAAATTAAAATAAATATGAATTATATATTTATTAAATTTAATTTGTTATTTTTACTTATTAATTTAATTTATTTACTAATTTAATTTATTATTACGTTTTTAATTTATTATTTTTAATTTAATTTATTTTTTTTATTATTTTCTATAAATATGTTATTATTAAATTTTTTGGAGGGAATATTTTTTAATATATTATATTATATTAAGGATGTGGTTTTATAAATGGGGATCTTTTAAATAGGAATTGGATATTAAAATAATAGGATATTAGAAAGATACAAATATAATTAATAAATTTGATTTAAATAAATGTGTTTTTCTATTACCTTATACTAAAGGTTATAGGATCGGAGAAAAATTGGATTAAATATGATATGAATGAAATGAAATAAAATGAAACGAATCTGATTCGAATTGAAACACAAGAGGTATAATTTGGTGCACTATAAGAAGAAAGAAAATATTATAGGGGAATTCTACCAGAATTCTCGGGAAACGATATTTTGTAAAAATGATGGTTATTATAACGCAATCATTTTTAAATATATATACAAAATTGCCAAATGAAGCGCCAGAAAATCTCTTAAGACCCGTTGCGGCTTTTAAATAGCAGCCCGCCAACTTGAGGCTTGCCAATCTATTTAGGAATTTAATATCATTTAATATTCAATCCAAAGTGCATGACAAAGCTTGAGGATATTTTTCCATTGGGAAATTTGGTCGGTCGAAATTCACTATTTGGAAGTTGGGGGTGGTGGAGGGGTGCAAAACGGGGGGGGCGAAAACCCATCGTATTTCGAAATTCAGGCCGGGGTCGAAAACGTGATGGCATTCTTAAAAATCCAATCGTTTTCCTAAATGTACGGGCAAAATTCGTCAGGATTCAAGTGCATTGGCAAGACAGAATTGTGATTGATTTCGCCCAGGGGATGGACATTATGATGGGATTTTTTTAAGTCCCATCGCTTTTTGGTAGGTACGATGGCCTCGTTATCGTGATATTTTTTTTTCCAATAAATTTGGTCTGCTAAAATATTTGTCGAAGAAATCGTAATTGGATTTTTTAAAAATCCCGTCGCGATTCTGGTTGACGAAAATATTTGTCAACCAAAACCCGTCGCAATTTTGTTGACGAAACATTTTGTCAAAAAAAGCCCGTCGCAATTTTGGTTGACAAAATGATTGTCAACAGAACCTGTCGCAATATTTGTCTAACAAAACCGACTGACCTGATACCCATCAAGAGGGCCTCCGACAGAAGCCGAGATTCTCAGTGGACAAGTATTAGGTATTGCAAGTTCCTGAATGGATTGTCAAGACTCAAATTGGTAGGTTGCGATTTGAAAGCCGCAACGGATCTTGGTGAGTTCGTGGCGTTTCGTTGGCAGTTGTTTGTAATCATTGTTTGGTAGTTTTGTTTGGCAGTTTTGTTGGCAGCCACTTTGCCAAAGATATCGCTCCCCGGAAATGTTAGAAACTATTGCCTATTGCAGCATAGTTTTCTCCTTATAGCACACCAAACTATACACCTTTTGCGTGTTCTTGGGGTTCTTTATAGCGCTCATTTCGAATCAGACTCGTTTCATTTTATTTCACTTCATTCATATTATATTTGTTCCAGCTTTTCTCCGA